AAGATCAAATGGATGTCAGCTGTTCAAATTGTAGTGAAAGCATGTTAAATAGCAATAGCATGTCAAACATTATTTTATTGACTTGATAAAATATTTTACTAATTTTTATTTTAAAAAATATTTTAGGTTTAATTTAAAATTAAGTTAAATTTATTTATCATTATTTGATTTAGTTGTTTGTAAATTTTTTTTTAAAAAAATATTTTTAATATTGATTTGATTTTTTATTGAAAATAAACATGTTGATCACATATAATTTGAAAAATAATCAATCAATTGTTAAATAACAAAATTTTCAATGTATACATGTACTTAATCAAAAAACCTTTTGAATAATTTTTTAAATTTTAATCTTAGGCTTTTGAAATTTTAAGTATTATAGAAAATACTTTTGATGATCTAAATTTATCTATATCTTGATAAATTTATAATAATATTAATTAATTTATTCTTCTTTCAAAAAATTTAAAACAATTGTAATTTTTACCAGATTTATATCTTATACTTTCAAAATTTTTTTTTCAACTTGAACAAAAAATTCACATTATATTATAATCATAGCATACAAAAATTATTAATTTAAATTTCAAATATTTAAAATAAAGTAACTATCATAAGAGTCAATGCTAGCTTTTATGTAGGAGAAAAATGTTGTCATCAAAATGAATGCAAAACACTTTTCTTGTATTCTAAAGTGTGAGCTCTAAGATTTTCAACAGAGCATGTGAATGCAATAATTGAGGATCAACTGCAAAATTTCAATAAAATTCTCCTACAATTACATTAATGTTCTATTTAATTGCCTTTAAAAAATATTTGGTAGTATCGATTCATATGACAACACAACAAACTTTGAGAGCAACAGTCCAAAAAATATTTCTCAAGAATTTCAAAAGTTTTTCAGTTAATGAATAATTTTTTTGCATGTTATACTAGCTCTCCTTGTTAAAAAAAATTGTATACTATGAGATAGAAAAGAACGTAGTAATATATAATGAGTGTTTTCACTACATATGAGACTATGTTAATAAATTTTATGACAATGCTGAGAATACACAACAAAAAAACCAATGACATAGAAGAAAAAATTGTATAATAATTTGTAAAGTAAATTGCAAAGAGCATTGCTTGTAAAACTATCACAAAATTTTATTTATTTATATTTATAGAAATATTATGTTTTATTCTCATTTATTTAGTCCATATCTTGGAATTTTTTTAGTTTAAATTTATATATGATGTATTTTATTTTTAAAAATTAAAATTTTTTTCTTTAAAAACTCAGATATTTTTTAAATTTTTTTTATATAATATAAAATTTATATATTTTTTCATTTAAATTTTTATTTTTAAATATTTCATTATGATTTTTATATAAATTGGAAAACTTTTATACTATGTATACTATGTATATGTACTATGTATATGTACTTTTAAACTTTTAAACTTTTAAACTACATACTAAAACTTTTATAATTTTACTTTTATCATTTTTATTCTATAAATTTATTTTCATAAAATTTTTACTTTAATTTTAAAAAATGAAATTATTAATCTAAATTTTTAAAATTTTATATGTAAACAATTTTATTATTTATTTGTATGAAAATTTACTTCTTAATATTAAAGACTCATATGAAATATTTAAAATTAGACGTTGTAATTTTTGAAATAATATTAAAAAAATATGCTTGGAAATAAATACTTAAATCTTCAAATAAATTTTAAATTATAATTATATAATTTAAAAAAAATCCAAAAAGCATGAATAAATTGAGAAATAAGTATACATATTTTTGAAAATAATATAATTGAAAAATTTTTAATTCGAAAATAAATATTTTAAATCTCTAAATAAATTATAAAATTTAATCTCAATTTAAATTTTTTTGGAAAAACGTGAATAGAACTATAATTTTGAGAAGTATTTCACAAAATAAAAAATAATTTGTTTAAATATACGATTTTTACTAAAATTTTAAAATAATAATTTTAAAAACTGATTAAAATAAAATATTTCTGTCAACAAATGTGTGAACCAGATCTGACGCTATCTGAAATTTTTACATACAAGAACTAATGCAATAAAAACTGATGAGAATGATTATTGAAAAATAAAATTTAAATTTTTTGAATATAACTTATCATTTTTATTTTTCATGGAAAAATTAATGATTAAAAAAATGACCACCATGAATGATGTGAGAATGTTACATCCATACAAAAAAATTGTCCTGAATATCCACATATGGGTAAATTATCAAACAAGTAAAATGAAAATTGCACTTTATATATATCTTTATTTTAATAATAAATTTAATGAATTATAAAAAATAAATTCAATTAAAAAATTTGTTTTTCATTACAATAATTTCAAAAGACATTATTGATCATTTGCAAATTTTCTTTATCAATCTGCAAAAACAAAAATTTAAATCTAATGCTATGAATAAATAAAAACTATGGGTCATATGAATCTAATTTTTTTATTTTTAGAATATTGAAAAAAAGTAGAACTCTTTGATATTTTTATCATTTATTTCTAATCCTATTGTCAATAATTCAAAAGCATAGAAAGATTTTTATACAAAAAAATTTCAAAAATTCAAAATAAAGTTGTTTTTAAAAGTTGATAGTTTTAATAAATGTTCTAAGTAAAAGAAGTTTTCAAAAAATGTGAAAATACTTTTGTACATGTACATTAAATGAGAAATTTTTACATGCAATACAATGAGCAATATTAAGTTTATAATTATATTTAAAATAGTAAATTATTCCAATTTTTATCCTTTTGATTCATGAATTTTTTTATTTATAAAATGATTTCTCAATTATATTAAATTTAATTTTGCAGTTGAATCAAAAATGTCTTCAATTTTTTTTCTTGAAATATTTACACGTACAGATATACATTTACAATGAAGTTTATTGAGAGAGGTTGCTTTAAGCATAATTATGTTGCAAACTCTAAAGGATTGGAAATAATTGTACAAACTTAACGAATTGTATTGCAATCTTACTCCAACAGATTGTTGAATGTTAAAGCATGATTTCACAAAATTGTTAGATCATTTATGAAAGTCAACGAATTTGAGTCTGAAGAAACAAAAGAGTGAAATTGCATTGCAATCTCATTCTATAAATCATTAATTCATGAAAGTAGGTTTTAGAACCTTGTTATTATGGCTCTTAAATGAAGTAATCTAAACTAATCTTAAAGTACAATGTACATATGTGTGATTATGTACACGGTGTTGATTGAAAAAACGAAGTTTCTACTATTTTGACTTAACATGGGTGGTTTGTAGAGACAAGTGGCTGGGCTTCGGTTTCTAACCTTTAAAGCTTAAATTATCCGTCATTGGATGTCAAGGCATAGCCAAAATGATTCGTTTTGAATTACTATAAAAAAACAATTTCAAAAAATGTCCAACATTTCAACAAGAATAATTTTATGTCCATTACTGAATGAAGATTTATGTGATGTTTTAGAAGCAGACTTTTCTACAAACATTGATTTGCAAATCTATAACTTGATAAAATATGATCAGAACAATCAATATGTAAAACAGTAAGTCTCATACGAATTGATGTTACACGAAGCGACACTGCACTTATGTGTCACACATAATTCCACATGTGCTTGGCGACACAATAGTCTGAGTTATGACTCACGACATGACATCTCTGATAGATGAATGAACTAAAGTAGAATACACGACAATCGATTGACACCCAGAACTCAAACTTCACATGACTTCAATCTTCGCCATACCCAAATCGGTCTATCCACGTCAGCTGCCAGCCAGGACACGCAGCTGCTGTTATTCCACCGGAAGTCTGAATCGAACAGCCGGTTTGAAGAACGGGACCGATGCCACGATGGCACGGCGCATGGGCCGGCGACTCGCACCGGTAGTGGACAGCATGGGCAAGGCCTGCCACGTGGCATGACGAGAGACCTGCAGCACCCGGTCATCAGTCGAAGCCCAGCCCCGACCTCAAGCCCAAACTGTGTTCGTCCCCCACCTCCGCTTCCCATTCGCGCAAGCAAGCTGAAGCCCAGCACGGGGGGAGGGGGGCCAGGTAGCTGACAGTCTCAGAAGGAGCTCCAGCTGTCGCCAGACAAGCCACGCCGTCCAGCGGACCAGACGGCGCCAAAGCAGCGGCAATGGCAAGCCCCGCAGTCGCCTCTGCCACCTCCTGTCCCTCTGTAACTGTTAACCACCTCTCCCCTGCAGTTGTAACAACCGCGACCGTGTCGCTTCGAACAAGCACTGATCGACGAAGCTCTTCCGAGAGAATTCTGCTCTGCACACAGATCGTGCTCTACTCGACTCTAAGCGCCTCGCCTTGTGATCCACGTGCCCGGGCTGGATTGGGCGACGAGCCCAGCGAGGGCTTGGGCTTGCTCGAGAGGTTGGACTGAGCACACTGACTGTTGGGTGAGATGCTGGAGTCCTTGTCCCGGGGGTAAATTAGCCCTTTTTCCGATACGAGTGCTTAGCGAGTGAGCGCGATCTCTAGGAGGGGGTAAATTTAGGCTGCAGGGGGAGATGCTTCTATTCCGGGGGAACAGTTGAGGCCACAGTCATGAGGGATCGGGGGCTGGGGTTCGGATCACGCAAGATACCCACCGGGGGGAGGGGCGGGGGCCGGGGGCAATGAAGCTGTCGACATGCCGTAAAGGGGGCTGGCTATGTTCATCATAATAGCCCGCCCAGTCGCCCACAGCAGCACGGCATCGCATCGCTGCTGCAACAGGGCCCAGATTCGTGCAGATGATGGCGCTCACAAAGCGCCAGCACTTTCGGATTCATGCTTGTCGGGCGAGTGTCACTGCACTTCCGGGCACGGCAGAGAAAACCATTCCGAGACGATGGACTTTTCACGAGGGTCATGAATCTGACAGGCAGCTCGGAAGCCCAATTACGCCAACTATGCCCAGATACGTGGGCAAACACGACGAGCACTAAGATGAGAGTCTCGAGGAAAATCGAACGAACACGACGATTGTGTCCAGAGAGAGAGAGAGTGAGATCGTCAGCTGAAAATGAGTACCTTTATTAAAAACCCCAGAGTAGGGTAGTCCCCCATGTAGCAAAATGTTCTCACAAAAGTAGCAAAGGGTGCTAAGGGTGTGCTAAGGGTGCCACTCCTGGGATTCGTAACTTTCTACACCAAAAGAATGTTGTCGAATGATTGAAATTTATCGGGTTTTGAGTATGTGAAAGGAAAATCGAAACAGCTGCGGACCCATTGAATGTGAAATTTACTACAAATTGATTGAGCGAGCGAGCGATGGTGGTCGTGGTGGTACTAGCTACAATGATGATGATGATGATGATTGAAGGAATTAAAATTTTCGGACGGTGAGTGAGTCTGATCTAGATTCAGATAGATTGAAGGGTGGCCACGGTTTCGAGGACGAGGTCGTGGAAGATGCGCTTCTCGAGCTCGCCGACGATGCGCTCGATGAAAGTGTCGAAGTCCGGGGAAGGGAACCAGTGCGAGCGTTTGTACAAGTCTTCGCCGATCAGATTCTCGAGCTTCCAGTGCAGCAGCTTCTGGTCGTCGTTGATGGACCCGTTGCGGCCGAACTGGTCGCAGATGTCGCGCCAGATCTCCTCCAGCAGCATTTTGCCGGTGGGCCGGGGGCGCATGACGGCGGGCTTGATCCACGGGTTGCGGGGCGTGCGGTAGGGCCCGAGCTTCTTGGCCAGCAGCTCGTTCACCACGTCGAAGAGGTGGCACCGGTGCATGGGGTCGTAGCGCCCCTGCTTCGTGGGCACCGAGGCCTTGATGCGCTCGGCCAGGCGCAGGTGGTCCGGCTGGTAGAAGGCCAGCCGGCGCAAGCGCTCGCAGCCGAGGAATTTGATGCCGCTCTTGTAGTAGTCCTCCATCTTCTCGAACAGGCTCGGGTCGATGGGCTCGGCCACCGAGTGCCACTTGGTCATCGGCCCCGACGGCACATCGCGCCCGAACCCCGACGCCACCAGCACGTCGCGCGCGTACACCAGATCCCACCGCCGCTTGCCCCTCGCGGCGATGTTCTCCAGGTCGAAGATCTCCAGGCTCTTGCGGAAGTCCGACGCCGACCCCGCGATTATCTCCAGGCTCCTGCGAAAGTCCGTCGGGTGCTCCCCGCTTCGGTGGCTGCCGCTGCCCCCGCGTTGCCCCAGCCCCACCCCCACCACCGGGACTGCGGCTGCAACCCCAGCCCCGTGGCCGATCTCTCGGCTCCTGCGGTGGTCGCCGTAGCCCGAAGCCCCCAGGCTAGCCCCCTTGTATCGATCGCCCCCCGCGAGGTGGTTCGACGCTGCAGCAGCTGCTGCTGCCGGGGGCTTGGCCGCCTCGAGTTTGGCGGGCGCTGCTGCTGCCGGCCTCGACGATTTGGACGACTTTCTCAGCGGCGCGCCTTCGGGATTCAGCTCGACGATGATCACCTCCTGGTTCATCAGCTCCACGGGAGCCGCAGCTGCAGCCGCAGGCTCGACGACCCTCCCGGACGATCCATCCCTCCTGTGGCTAACCACGTTGGGGCAGAACTTCTGAGACCGCTCTTGTGATTCTGAAATTCCCACGCAATTTCATCCTCGTCAGCGCTGACAACACAATTCTATGCAATAAATCGAATCGCAAGCGTAATTCTACACGGCGAATTAAATGAATCGGGAATTTCACGTGAGTAATGATGATGATGAAGAGCAGACCTTGGAGCTTCTGATCGAGCTGGTTGATCCTGCTCTCCAATTCTCCGATCTGACTGCCGTGCTCGGCAAACGGGGTTCTCGAGTTATTGAGAACCGAGACGGGGCTGGGCTGGTTGTCGACGCTGCTGCCATCGGAGCCACTGTCGTCGCTTCCCGGAGACCAGAGCCCCGGAGCTGACAGCGTTCGTTCCGCTGTCGGCCGACAGTCCGCCGCAGCCTGCACAAGTCCACTCGAATTCAGCACAATTGACGAAACAAAGAAGAGCATCTCTCACGAATTTCATAACCTCTGACCCAAATCTCATCTCGTACCGATGATCGATTCCCAAATTGGGCATGGCGGATGGATGAGAATTCGCTCACCTCCGATTTTTGAGCTGGTCGTTCAGATTCGGGAAATTCTTGCGTCTGCTGCTGCTGCTCGGGGCCGCCGTTCCGGACGTGGACACGCAGAGAATTGTTGGCAGCCTCGTTGGACGCTTCGCGAGTCGGGCTGCTGCCGAGAGCTAAGCCCACGGAGCCTGTCAAATCGGCCAAAAGGCTGGCCAGGTCCTGGGCATTGCTCGAGGATTCGATGGAGGAGAGAGGAGATTTCAGCGGCCCTGGGTCATCGGACTTGGGTGATGGGGCCGGACTCGGCAGCCTCTGGCGATTCCTGCTGACAGATTCGACACCTGCTTCAGCATTGGGACTGCTGCTGCTGTGGGGTCCGAACCTTTCAGCCCTTCCTTCGACGCTGGGATCTTCGGCACCATCGACTCCAGCCGCCACTGGAGGTGGCAGATGGTACGCGAACGGAGCGTACGCCGCTTCCTTGGCTGCCAGTTCGGCCTCGGCACCATCGTCCGCTGGAGCAATTCCAGCGCGGGCGCTCGCCCTCCTCATCAACTTCTGAATTATCGATTGCTTCACATCTTGCTTCACTTCTTCCTCTTCCTCTTCCTCTTCTCCTTCTTCCTTCACTTCGTCCTCGGCTTCATTGTTGGACGACGATTGCGCGTAGCGATTTAGACCCAAAGCTTCCAAGTTCCAGCTCCGCGAGGCAGAGTTGTCAATTTTCCAGCTCCGCGACGCAGAATTGTCCACTTTCACCGCAGCTTCAGTTTCAGGAGGCTCCGGCGCCGGCGCTTGTTGTTGTTGTTGTTGTTGTTGTTCGGAATTGGATGCATCATTCGAGACGGTCGGGGATTCCGCTGCTGTTGCAGCTGCTGCTGCAGCAGCAGCAGCAGCCTCCTTTTCTGCTCGCCTCCGCCTGCGCAGACGAGATTTTTCAATCTTCTGCAGGACAGAGCTTCTGGGAATGACAGAAGCACCCGAAGAGCTAGAATTTGGCGATGGCACATCGGCCCGGCCGACCGATTCTGCAGCGGAAGGTCGAATTGGCGAATCCTCGCCCGGAGCTCCGCCACTGCGCCGCCTGCGGGCAGCGATTTTGGACGACTGAGTCGAGGCCGAGAGCTCGACGGGGCTACCGGGGGCTTGCCACCGGCCCTCGTCCTCGTCCTCGCCCCCGCCCACGCCCCGTCCCGCTCTAGCCCCGCTGCCGTCCACAGCATTGCCCCGCACCTCGCGCACATTGTCAGCCCCCGGGGGCTTGGGGATATTAGCACCTCCGCCGGGGCGCCTCGGCGACTTGAGCAGAGTCGACAAATCCGTCGTGGGGGCACGACTCGGAGACCGCGCATAAGCGGCGGGCGAGCCCTCGGGCGCATACCCATAAGCCCCGGGGGTTCGGAGCGGCGACGAGCTCTGCACCGCGCCTTGGTCCTGCAGAGTGCGCAGGAAATGCGCCTGGTCCACGGCCGCAGCTTCGCGCAGCGATTTCAGCATGGCTTCCTTCGTGCGCGCAAGCTCTTCCGAATTGTAGTCGACGGGATTCGTCCATTTCCGCATCCTCTCCTCGATCGTGCGCCGCGATGGCGGCTTCGACAGGCTTTCCACCAAAGTCCCGGGACGGTAGTTTTCATAGCTCCCGACCGAGTCCGGGGGTGGAGGCAATGGCGCCAATCGGCTGCCGAATTCGCCCCGCGAGCTCGTGGTCGAGGCGCTGGAGGGGCTGTTGCGGTGCTCGTCCCCGGCGAGAATTCGGCTGAAGGGCGACGAGCCCTGCGTTATGGAGAGCTTGGCGGATCGCTGAGACGAGGTGTCGTCGTCGACGAGGAGCGAGGGCTTATTGCGGGCCACGCCGCGAACGCTGGGCTTCGAGGGCAGCACGTCGACCCAGAGATGGTCCTGCTGCATCATCTCCTCGTTCGACAGCAGGTCGTAGAGCTCGCGCGGCGACGCCTTGCTGGTGGCGGAGGACGAGGGCGAGCGCTCGAAGAATTTCGAGAGCATGAAGTCGCGCGAGGTCTCGCCGTCCGCGCTCGAGAGCGAGCGCCGGTGGTGGTTGTCGAGCTGGTCCTGGTGGTCGACGTTCAGCTTCTCGCATTTCGACATCCATTCGGGGTCGGCGAATTTCTCCTTCAGCGATGGCGATCGCAGCTTCTCGTGCCGAGGGGACCCGGGCGCTCGCGGGGCCTCGGCCGCCCTCACGCGCTCGAGCGCCGTGCCCCTCTTGGGCGACCCCACGCCGGGCGAGTCGGCCGACTCGGACCTGACATGCCGAGCGTGAATCTTGATCGGCTTGACGAAGTTCTCGGGCCTGGCGAAATCCTCCAGAAATCCTCCGCCCTCCGGCTCGCGCTGCTTGCACCGCTCCGACAGCTTCTCGATGAACTCGCGCTTGAACAGCTCGTGCAGCACCAGATTGCCCTCGCCATCTTTGGGCAGGCTGTCGCCCAAGCGCCTCTTGCTCTCCGACAGCTGCGAAATGTCGCGCGAGATCGCCGAATTGACGTGCCGCTGCTGCACCAGCCCATCCAAATTCCGCGCGTCCAGCGACCGCGATCTCGGCCCTTCCGACACCCTGCGCGGATCCCTGCGCATCGACCCCCCAAACTCCTTCTTGATCTGTGGCCCATCTGACCCTAAGCTACTCCATTCTTCGCACCCATCGACGCACACACGAGACGATGCTTCAGCCCCTTCCCGAATTCAACAATTGATTGATTCAACAATTCAATCGAAATAGCGAACATGATGAAGCAGGCGACAATGCAAGCCAAGCCAAGCCCCCTCTAGAGCGAAACGGGTCCGGACCTTTGAGCTTCAGCAGTCATTAGTGCCGCCCATAAACGCACGATTCGGGGGCGGTGCTAATCACGACATTCATTCCATTCCTTGTATTCTTTCTACGTGAGCACGAATCAATGCAGAAAGATGTACAGGGAGGACAATGCTGGGATTTTCTTATCCAGCAGCACAATTGGTGATATGCTCCATGACGGGGGAGGGAGAATTATGGTGAGCGTGGTTACCTGGCTTCTTGCCCAATTCGAGAGGACCGGATATGACGAGCTCCTTCGACGACTTCCTGCTAGTGGTCCACCTGCAACGAGGAACGAGGATGAGTCAGAATTTCGTGTCCGTGTTGGAATTCCTGTGAAAGAGAAAGAGTTCAGAAGGACGAGGAGATGGACGAAGGAGAGCATAGGACGTGTAAATCTGGCCATGGGGAACCAAATTGCTGCAAGCAGGCAATCAAGCAATCAAGCAAGAAAGTGAGCGAGCGAGCACTGTGAATCTTCGGATAGGACCTGGGCATCATGCTTGCACTAGCTGTGAATGCTGTGAAGTTCAGGCGGACTGGGAAGACCGACTCATCATCATCATTATCATCGCGATCGACGACTGATCGTCCTCTCACCGATCGAGTGCCGTCAACAAGACGTGCAACACGATCGAAGAGCGAAGTGCAATTGGTGGAGGGCAGATTCTGAAACCCAATTCAAGCGCCCCTCCCCCAACCGCACCCGCAGCCCCCAGCCCCCAAGTGTTCAATGGTGACAATGTGAGTTCAATGGTGTTACTTGCAGGATTATGGTGGTGGTAGTGAACAAGCTCGTGATGGGTCCGGGACGAGAAGCAAGTCCAAGACGGTGAAAGAGCTGCCGTGAAGAAATTTGTTAATAAGAAGCCGAGATATATAAACTTTACTTGATAGAGATTTGACGATCTTTCATGGCGCCCTGTCGTTCCAGTTTCTTCATGTCCTGCACGGACGGGCGATGCACTGACGCCCGTGTCACCACACTCCGGGGCCCTATCTACCCATTGTTATGACACCCGTGCGACACTCGTTCTTTCCTAGCATGCAAACACTCCGAGACCAACCACAACAACTCCATCACACCCAACCCCTCCCCCTCCTCCTCCTCCTACCAAAATCTCTCGCCACACCTCCAACACCTCCATCTACACACGGATACTGCAAATCTCTTCAACTTCTTCTACACTTCTTCTTCTCTACCACTTGGCGCTCATCATCATCATGCTCACTCGCCTATCGTGAACGCACCGACTACCGCACCACATTGCCCCCACTCCACTCTCCAGTAGCCCCGCCCGTCTGTGTGCGTGCTTCCCAACCCCTGCAACCCCCTCCTCTTGCCACCCCACCACCCCCTCTGACTCCTTCTAGCGCTGGTGGTAGATGCAAGCATACATTCATCCTGCTGCGGCGGCTGCTGCTGCTGCCGCTGGTGCTTCTTCTGCCTCTGCTCCTCCTCCCGCGTCTTCTCCTTACCTCACTAAAACTAATACTACTACCTCTAGCTCTAGCACTAGCACTGGCACTGGCACTACTCTCTCCCGATTTTGGCGGTGTGTCTGATCTGTGAGTCTGATCGCATGCCCTTCTCCTTCTCCTTCTCCTCCCCCCAATTCCGATCTATCTACGACGAGCGTCGCCCCGCTTCATGTGCCCCTCGTCCTCGTCTTGCTCGTCTTGCGTCTCGTCTCGTCTCCTCCAGGGGCTCGGGGTTCAAGGGTGCCCTTTCCGCGGGCCTGACATCATCTGACAACATTCGCACAAATGCCTGATCGGCTGATGTCCATCACGAGATTGAAACTGATCTCTCGATCCATTCCGGGCGACTAGACTGCAAGATCTATCGTAGCCTCCCTCCCTCCTTCCCTCATCCCCAGCTCACCTTCCGAATGTCTCAAGATTCTAGCCCCCGGCTGTCTAGACTGGTAGCGTAGAGTAGAGTAGAGTGAAGAAGAAAGTGATGGGGTGGGGGTAGCTCCTACGAGCGATAGCAATGTTGGAAGGAGGGGCTGGGGGTATTCTTCACCTGGAGGGGTGGGGGAGGAGGAGGAGGAGGAGGGGCAGGGACACGGGGGCTGGGCTACAGTCGAAGGGGAAGGGGAAGGGGAAGTGGAGGGGGCTGGGCTGGGCTGGTCTTGGCTGGGGCTGGCCTGGCTGGGCCTGTGAATCAGCCGGAGTCGCCCGCATGCCAACGGCGCAGCCAGGTGATGGGGCTGCAGGGGGTGCGCCATGCCGATGCCAGATGGGTAGAATGTCAACTTCACCCCCCAGCGCAGCGGGGGCGGCATGCGCGCTCCTACTTTTCTTCGCCACTGTGCGCCTGGAGCGGGGCTAACTTTCCGAGCCCCGCTCCCCTCGCTACCCCCATTTGTTACTGCCTTCCCCCAGCCCCCCAGATTCTTACCGTACTCGCCCGATAGATCATGGATGAGCCCCACCCCCTCGCGTCTTCCCTCGAAGCCCAGTGAGGCCGCGCGGGCGCGCTCCGGGCCCGGCGCTGCCGGCCGCCGCTCGGCGATACTCCCGCAGTTGTGTTGGGCTTCCGTTCCGGTTACCCATCGTGTAAAAGTCTTCTCTGCTGGATCGGCCAGGATTTTCCTCTCGGGAGAACCCCAGCAACCAACGGTCCAGATATTGGAGTCAATCGTTTGACTGCCAGTCTCCTGTTCGCCTATTCTGATATTTCACCGTGTAATTTCTATGGATGTGGCCATATTTCACGAATATTAGATGCACTATGACATGTTTCCCATCGTGATCCTAGTGGAGCTAGTTGTATACTACCCCCTTTTAATTTATTTCTTAAAATTTAATTTTGGTTGGTTTCATCACTATACCACTTGATGGGGGTATTCCCAACTTCTCGCTACATTACTAGTTTCAGTTGGTTGATTTTTCACATGTGTGAGCAGTAATTTGGACTTTCCTGGTTGTTTTCAGCCCTTGTCATGGCAGAGCTTCAGTTTTCAAGAGAAAAGCTTTCGTCTCCTTCCTGAGTTGGATGGATCTTCCTTGGGAGTTATGGATCTCCACGAAGGTTTTAATTCTAGCCAGGATCTTCTTCGATCCAGCACATTGTGGATTCGGAGTGTGTGGGAAGTGTTGTGAACTTCATTTTCCACGTTGACATACAAAAGGTTTCGTCACGATTTGATCTTTGAGATACTTTGGTCATAATTGGGGCATGATAAGATGGACAGTCCCGACCCACAAGGAAACGATATCTGAGATGAAAGTCATGCAAAGGCCAAGGTTTATCTGACAGAATGAATCATCAGTGAACGGGGAAAGGTGCTTGTCTTTTAGCTCCACATTCACAGCAGCACATCATTCTGCACACCCTATCCATGTCTCTGCACCTCTCTTTGGCAAACCATTTTTCCTCATACCACATAATATAGTTCCTCGTACCCTCTTTCGATTTGCATACAATAGAAAAGTATTTGTCACACCTTTTTGCTGGAAGCAGATTTGGGCAGATTTCCCGGTTCTGAATTCCTCACAGCAAATGCTGCAGGCCCTCCTACTCAAATTGATTTTTCTCGCATACAATGGAAAGAAAATGGTAATTTTTTGGTCCGGATGATTGGAGTATTCATCTCGGCTCTGAATCCCTTTACCGCCACTAGCATCATCAAAAGAGCATTCTGAGATATCAGTCATGATTGAAGTTGATTGAGGTTTGGGCCCTGACCAGAGGAGATCATAGAAAGGACAAGAGCTGGGAGTCAGATAAGATATCATTGTCTCGTTAGTGAAACAAGTATCGGTCTTCGTAGACATGTGGATGCATCTACATCCTCAACATCCTTTGAGTAATAAAAGTTGAGAATAAAACATTGATCGAGAATCTTCAATGATGCAATTTTGTAAACACCTTCCATCATCTCGCCGGATTCTGCCTCTTTTCAAGCCTTCAAATCCTTCGTGCTCCGATGTGCTCGAGGCAAACTGCAAGGTAGCGTGAGGTATAGACAAAACGCAACCTTAACTTAGAAAGAAGAAGCTTTTTTAATCCATCTCTGATGATGCAAGCGACCACATCGTCGACCACCGTAGGCTTCGGAATGAGAACTTGGCTGTACTTCCAAACTCGTAGCATGAATCATTGACGCTCGAGCTCCGGGTAAGTTTCGGGCCCCGAGTGACCATCGTCCGTGCATGGCCAAGTAATTGTGTCTGAGTGCCAGCATTGGAGACTTCCCGTGTCCTACCTGTACTCGGAGAGCACTTTCCTTAGGCATGCCTGTCGTACTTGATTCTGTGAAACTAGGGAGAATTTCATGCGTACGTAATTTCTCTTATGCTCCTGTAGCTGAAGGTTGTGAGATCTCCTCCTTCGCCCTTTCTCTGAAACTCTCCTCTTTTGATGACATATGCTTTTTGGACGTACATAGAACCGTGCCTTCTGAAGTATAATCCGTCGACATTGCTGAGGAGACACTTTCCACGCTGGGGTACAAATAATCCAGAGAGGAACAGTCTCTTCGACATATTGTTCTAGCCATAAAGTTCACACTCGGGAATTTAGAGCGCGAATGACAAGGAAATTCAACTTCATCCCAATGCCATTAGAAGACATTCATAAGAAGAATTCGCCAGGAGACAAAAACCAGAGATGAGAACAAAGAGCGAGTCGTTCTCCGCACACAGTCGAAAGACGATGTATTAAATGATGGGCGGACCCAAGAGGGCCGTGGTACTCTTGACTGTACAAAGGCTACTGAGCCGAGCCGATCCGAAGGGTCAAGAAATGTCAGCGCATAACAGAAGTAGCTGTGTATATTTCTGTCGTGAATTAATCCTAAGTATGAATCCTTCTATAGCCTACAAGGTCACGACGACGACGAGAACATCTGACCTTTCACATGAGCCATTTAATTGCTTTGGACTGCTCTTCCAATTTCGTATCTACACTGAAGACCCTTCCTTTGAGGGCCTGCATATATTGAATTAACTATCAGGTGCTGTATACAACTTGAAATCTGGCTTGACTATCTTCACCTTGTCCAGGATGGCCACAATTCCTTCTTTGCCAGCAAATGTTAAAGGAAGATCGTCAGGATCAGAATCATCTTGCAGCTTGCTGGCTGCAGTAGGTGCTATGAGATCGGGAATGTCACATCCATCCGATTCTTCTGTGATCGGTCTCAAACCAGTCGTTTCATCGATCCCTTCTGGATGAAGATTGACGGGAGGAGGTTCGTCTGGTATATCCTTATACAGGTGCCTCAAGATAAACAAGGCTGTGTCCAAGTCATGCCAATAGGCTCTGCAAAATGATAAAAAATTGTCTCAAGTCAAATCACCGCCATCAAAGTACTGATACTTTCGTTACCATTACGGGCCCTACTGGGACAAAAAAACATATTGCTTGGGTCATCGCAGATCAAGGAGGAATTGAGATGTTAAGGAAGTCTCATCGGAGAATATGACAAATCAGTAGTCACTGAACACGACTCCTCTGAAATATCTTCTGTCCCTTAGACACAAAGAAGGGGTACTCACGTATGTGAGCTGATCACTGATATATACTGATGTTCAAAGGTTGCGTCCTGCATGAGCAATTAAATACCAGTCAGTCAGATGAGATTGCAGCATTCATTGCCGTAGACATCAAGACCAGAATGGTCTTGTTCCCACTTTCGTATGCCATGTCACGAAGGTACACGAAACAGAGAATTAACACACAGGGTCCTCAAAGAACCGAACCTGTAGCATGTAATCCATGCGGCCATCAGGACCTCCTGTCAATCTCTCCATCATTAATTCACCATATGTTTTCTCCTTTTTCTCCACCTCCAGATTCTCATCATCTGCAAAACAGACGGTAGAATTGACGTTGCACCGAAGTGAATATCTACAAATTGTGACAAGTACCCCAGGAAGCTAGAACACACGAGAGACATGTCCTGACTCTGCTTCCAAACTGGAAATACATCTACATAAGATTACCATAGAACAGAAGAACCGACTCCATTACACTGACATCTACACGTCATCTAGTAAGCAAATAAGATCTAGTTGTACGATAGTGCAAACCTTGTGTCTCAGCTGCACTTGAAGAAAAAGCACTCGCCATGCGGGTCTGAAAACAATGATCCTTAATGTAAGAACGAACTCAAATGGCTAGAGCTTGAGACGACCTAAGACAGGTAAAAGTTTAAAAGTATAAAGTTTACAATAGTGCAACATAATAGGAACACAACATAAGGACAGCATGGGACAAACTGCAAAGAGCACAATCGTTTGCTTGATAATTTACCCCTACAGAGCTCAAGGAATCCACGATTGCCCTTGAGCGAGCTGACAAATCCTCACCAAATTCCTGTGGCATCATCGTCATATGAAATTGCCAAAAGCGTAAGTACGTATGGAGCGAAAGAATTGGAAGAATAACTTGCAGTTCATTTTGATCAAATGGTTATGAAAGACAAGACTTGAGATAGAAACAGGAAACTTGGACAAGTAGAAAATTGACTACTAAGGGCTTACAGCAGCTTATATGTGACAAACAAACAACTGCGCTAAAGCAACGGATAAAACGGCACCGATAGCAATCTCTTCATAAGGCGTCTAATCCTGCAAAACGCACTCTCGACCAAGTACCTGCATCCCAATATGCAACCGCTTTCCTCCTTTATGATAGGGTATAAAAGTGGGCCGCTTTTGCACAAACTCTCTACAGACTAGAGGTTCAATCCTGGCAGTGACACAAAGATCGGAACGGCAACAGCAAATGATATTAATATGAAGCTCTGGGAATTTATTAATTTTTCGCAATATACATGTGCTAGGACAAGCAATTAGGTAAAGAGAGAGTTCTATTTGCTCCTACACTTCACAGTCTTGAAGAAGAAACATCACGAGATGAAGAAATGGTAATTAAGCATTGCCACATCAGGCTGTTGGGCAAGATTCTACATGAACGTGTAACGTGTAGATTAGAACCTGTAAGCAACTGGATCGTAGGGGTGAAATATGTTCATCATTTGGCGAACGTCTGGCATCTCCTCTTCAACACCGTCATCGTTCCAGTATTCTTGGCCGGCTCCTGATGTCACACGAGTTTGTCAAGGCTTAATTGTTGAGAATTTAATCGACACAATCCCGAAAATATAAAATACCTGTTCCATTCCGTACCTATGCCGAGACGTATGTTGCGGAGTGACAAAAACACTCCAAGAGGGGAGCCAACGGCATAAAACGTATCAACCTGCATAGCACATATTGATGATCAATACCAAGGATAATTTCACTTCCCTTCACTTCTAACTGCTCTATTCAGCTTCATCTTGACAAATGTACGACGGTCCCCTGGATTACGTGAAAGATAACATACTGTTAACTTGCATATTTGACTTGTCAGACTCAGCTGAAGAGATAACATGGAGTTTCCTTTATCCTAATGTCCGCTCTAACTCCTTCAGCCATCCTTCATGCACAACTTGGGTAGTAATTGAAACCGAGGAGAACGATCATACCTGAAAATCAAGCTTGGTGTAAGATATAAAAGGAGTGTACGTCTTCTTTGAACTACTTCTGCTCTCCAGCTGACTTGGCCCTGCATCATCCTTTTGATAGTTTGCCTCTGATGGACCATCACCTGGTCCCATTTCAGCATTGGAGTCGTGAGTTTCTGAAGCATGAGACCTAACATCATCGCATTGCTCAGTATGGTCACCAGTAACACGTTTTTCCTCTCCGTCGCTATCATGTCTTTCAGATTCTTCTAAACTAACACTAGCTCCGCCAGCGCTGACAGGCACAATGGGCATTGACCTTAATTCATCCACAGGAGCTTGATCTGCTGTCAGTGCTACAAGCTTTTCTCGCAGCAGTTTCACCTGTACAATTAACAAATCCAAATGTTTAAGCCAAACTTTACCTACTTTCATGCAATCATAGGAACTGATATTCATTTTGCAATACATTCTCTCAAAGTAATTGATTTTTTTCTGAAACCGAAAAGTCACCGACAATACCAAGGTAACTATGCATCAAAGAGATACAAACAAGAAACAAAATTGAACTTATGATGTAAGTCGTCTGCAAAAATGTCAGAATCTAGCTAGGTACTGCTCCGATGCTGTCAGCTATTTCTTGCATCGGCCAAAAAACCTCAACCAACACTTCAACACGCCGTAAGTGTGCAATAAGGACAGATTTATGAGAAGATATAGGATAGGTCCTTTACTTCTTCCCTCAATGCTTCAAGCTCTGTCTTCTCGGTCTCCTCTTTGAAGTCAGTCACCAGTGCATCAACTTTCTGAGCATGAGTAAGAGCCCCAGTTTGGTCATGGTTTATTGAGGCGTTCTCGCTTGGTCTATCTGCCGGCTGCTCACCGCTGGTTTGAGGATTTTCCTCTTCTGCACTTTGGTGACTTACATCGGTCTCTGTATAACTGTTCGGGGTTTTCTCTTCAACATCACCTTCTGGACCGGTAGGAACTTCTTCTGATAATGTATCACCATTATCAGAATTGGCTCCTTCAATACAATGATCAACCTCCCCCGTATTCTCATCAACCTCTATGACTTCTTCCTGAGGTTTAGGACTTTCTTCTACTTGCGTTTCATCACCTTCAGAAATATGTCCATCTGAAGAACCATCCACGCTGTCCGCCTTGACCTCCGGTCGGACTTCAATGATGGGGAAAAGGGAGGTCAAATTTCTCTGATGGCAAAGAATGTCATAAGAGAGAACGCTTCCCAAGGAATGTCCATAAATCGAAACCTGTGACGGCACCAAAAAGTATATAAGCTTTAGTCTACAATCCGAGCGCTTGATAATTCCTCTGACTACGCAATATGATCCTCCTCAGGCATATGGTTTCATAACACCATGTACAGTAAAATCGATAAACCAGCGAATATCAACAGATAAAACAACCGAGTACAAAGAATCTAGATGAAAAGTACAGAAAGTTCCAACGAAAGAGAAGGTGATAGTGGTGGTTACTTTTCCATCGTAGTTGGGATTGCGCTTTATGAACTTCCCGTAGAGTCTGTTCAACGAGTGACTAACCTGCGCATACCGTCCCATATCAAAACTTGCAACTTCTCCGTGTGGAGCCCAGCAAATGCACAACTTCTCGTTCTTTCTCCAAGTTCAACGCAAAATTATCAATCATTTCCACAAAGAATTACAAAGCATACGGTACTAAATGTCGTCCATTCAGGGTGACCACATGAACTTAAAGCAACTTCAGAGCACTGCTTTGGACAAACAAAAGTTCCGGTTCAATAGAGCAAGCTTCTTTGATTACCTAGGAATTGAGATACAGGAATCAAAGAAAAGAGATTTATCCTAAGGAGTAGCTTACGGAATCGATGATGTCTTGGCAGTAAACAGGACTCATATAGTACAAAACGTCATGGACAGTGGCACTAAGCATAGTCCGTAAAGCTCGCACACCCTCTAGTGTGCAATCTTCTACTGCAGATTCACCACCGAGTTTTAGACCCCTCCTCCACTGCATAACGAAAGAACATAAACATGGACTAGATGATGTCAGTTGCTGAGTTTGTCTTTTCTTTTCATAAAGATCATATATATAATTGCCACAGATCCTTCCCCGTCGTGCTTCTTCTGAAGAGCATGATGAATGAGCTTACTTATTCAATCTAGTCTGTAAGAACATACCAGTGAACTTCAGACTTAATAAGTGATCTTAATGTCGTCCCTCAGGACAGCTAGAAATTATTTTAAATTCTTGACGTAATATTAACAATTACAGACATGGAAACAGGTTCAGAATTTTGCACTCGCCTGACAAGGTATAAAAAGCACTCGTTGGCAATTGCGCTGATATTGCGTGAGGTGTTGTTCTGCTAACATTGATACAGTGTGTCGGAAAGTTCCAACATCATCTACTAGATTTGCTCTCTGTAGCCGTTGTCCGATTCCATGGACCATGAATACGACATGACGAACTGGCACCTGCAGTATTCGTTTCTTTAGTCTAGAACAAGTGCATAATGTCTCTTGGGATCCCTGACCGCAATCCTTAGCAAGTGAAATCACGGCTTCATCCAAATGAGATGCAAATTTCCACATTTGAAAATCAATGCTTAGCATTCATAAAAGCGCAGAGGTTGCCTACCTTGGAGGCGTAGTCATCCATCTCTTCTTCCTTACGTTGTCTAATTTCATCCTGCCAAAATTGCGCAGTTTTAGCTGCTTTGGTTGGTCTATCCATATAAAAAAAATTTTCTGATATCGTTAACGTTGACCACCATGCAGAATACGGAGATTCTCATTTTTTAGTCAACTTATTATATTCTGTTTGCATTTTGAACTCGTGGTTTACCTTCTTCTTCTTCGTCATGTAAAGAAAGCACACCGAACAGACTAGTAGTATACTGCGCTGGATATTTCCGCACAGACTTTTTGGTACGGCAACACAAGAGCAACACTTCAAGAAGGCCTCTAGCATACTAACTCGCCAGATATGTACTACTATTCCTATGAAATTATCCCTGAACCTGCTTTATGCTCCTAAAGGTGGTTCAGGGATAGTTCATGTCAGGTTGTAAGTATTCAGCAGGATTAAGTGCCAAATATAAATAAATATAGTGCTCGCTTCTATATAATGCGAAAACACACTTACTTGAGTGGGCTGAGCTGACTCCGGCAAAACAAAACCCCTGCGTAGTCTGAAATCGCTACCTCTCAGACCAAGCACTTGAGAAACTCTATTTGCATCAATACATAACCAAGCCTCCCATGAATCATCCTCTCCTGTAAATAGCGCGTGCAGGCCCTGAATATTGCTCAAAACCAAGACAATGCGACAATCTTAGGGTCAACACTTTTATGTTTTCAACAGAGATTAGGGTCTAAACGAAACGAAAAAAACCCTTGCCGCAATGCCAAGCAACCTCGCGTGGAGCACTTTGCAAGTTCACTGCGTACATTAATGAGGCTAGGCGTGTTTGAAAAGATAAGAATTTACACTTGTAGAAGGACAGGCGGAAATCCGAAGGCCAAAAAGCTACACGTTTTGGCAAAACACCATACATACCTGGCGAGCAGAATTAAAGGCACCAAATAGTAACTAGAATACTGACCTCACTAGCTCCATGCAGGTTCACTCGTGCTGCAAACAGCCCGGAAGGCTGAAAGCGACGTCTTCTCCATATCTGTTCAAACAGAATTCGTTCAAATTCTTGACGCTTGCTTTCACCCTCATATATCCCGACCTTGATATGTGAATTTGCAAAAACTAAACAGCTGCACAGCTATAATAACGCTAAACTTGCAAAAAAGGCGTCATATAATGAAGACATTCTATCCACAGTTCCTTGATCCAAAGTCCTTAGGATCAGCATGTCCCTTGTCAATAAAAACGAAATCATAGTCTACGTTCATACTGACTTACCTGACTAACGTAGGCGATTTCTAGCTGTTCAGCTATGTCTTCTCGCAGTGGCAGCCAATCCAGACCACCTTTGAGAGCAAACCAGTGGCCTCGCAAGACCCGTCTGTGGTCCCCTCTCCAATAAACCGGAGAGCATCGCCGTTGACGAAGATCGACCTGAAGAATGAGAAACATAATCTGTAAGCGAACAAATTTTCTTCTTTTGTTTTTCACAAGCAGAAACGAAGCGATTTTAATACATCGTCACTGAGAAGACATAACTTCTCAGTGGCGATATGATAAACAATGGCAGGAAGCAACCAACTCCTGAGAGACATTCCAAAAAGTCAAAACCTTAATAATTTTGTATTTTCCAAAGCACATCTGTCCTTCAAAGATCCATTTCACATGTTTAAGAAGGAACCAGGTAGAAAGGAGAAGACCTCATAAAGTCCGCCCTTGACGATAACTCCCACAATTTCGTCATCGTCATATGCAGTCTCAAAACTTCTGCTTGATTTATATCTATTGGAATCCGCTATCTTGAGATCAGGGCTCGCTCTGATCTCACGAGAGGCTACATCACTAGAGTTCGGAACTGCACTTGAGGGGCCTTCACGACTTTCACCGTACTCCTTCCACCACGCTGAGACCAATTCCTCTTCCCGCTGTTGAGGAACAAAACGATCAAAGCTTGAGTAGATGGATGAGTCGAGACATGATTGCGCAATTTATTCTTCATAACGAATGACTATGATTGAAAGTCAGGTAACTGAGAGACGAGACCTCAAGAAAAGCAGCTTCCAGCGTCGACGAATCGCTAACACTGAAGCGGAAATACTCCCCTTTCCCAACAACCTCGAGAAGAGGCACGGATGCAGCTGCCTCTGCGGGTCACACGTTGATCCCATCAGATATCAAGTTCCCACAAAAGTCTGCTCATCAAGCACTCAATCTCTAGATATATAGCACGCAAAATGTCAAAAAATCCAAGAAAGTATACAGAAACGAGACGAGACCAGTTAAGCAGAAGAACAAAGTTCTGGACGCTTTCCAGGTGCTTAAACAAAAAAGGGACATCTCATACACAGCTTTTACATAAGTTCAACAGAATCAGTACGCAACATAGATAAACAGCAATCGCTTGTTTGCTTGAAGTCTCTGCTGAAATTCTGGGTAGAGAACAAGGAGGGAAGCAAATAATTTCAGAGAAATGCTGGAACAGAACATCAAATTTCAGTTACATGAAAATAAATGCAACAGCAACAACCGATGGACAGATGAAGCGCATGCGCGTACACCAAGGATAGCAAGACAGCAGTGATACCATTTCCAGTCCACAATAGAACCGACAAGCTGTGAATGGGTGGATTGTGAGGAACGGTACCGTTGGGCCCAAGGGGAGTCTTGCAGAAGTACCATCTCACGTCTGCTCCATCGGATGGGCTCCTCGTCCTGGGTCGATACTTGGCAGTCGATTCGACGGGGCTGTCGGGAAAGTAAGGCAGAGAGGGAGAGGAAACAGAGAAATTCAGCTGAGGATGAAGGGGAGAGCCGGGCGAGGGAAACGAGAAGGAGCTCGCCTGCCGGATGGTCGGGTACATTGACTTCTGGGGAGGAGGGAACCGATTTTTCTGAGAAGTCGGCGGGTCGGTGGCTCGAAATGCACCTGGCGGGGGAGTATGCGCAACATTTGGTTCTCTAATTTCCGGGACGCCGGTGCTACTCGCATCCGAGTGCTTAGCATCTAACGGAGGGGGTTTGCGTGAGTCATAAGGTGAATTTTCCTCCGAATTTGGGTGCGGCCGATCCGCACTCGAGGAACCGGCAGCTCCAGCTGTGACACCGGCAATCATCGCCTCCATAAATCAAATCCCGAGCGGCCCGACTTACTCACCATTCAACCTAGAATGAAAAACTCTCTAAAACCGCTCCGCGGCCACCAATTCATCTCTTCCTCAAGCGGACCAGAATCGCCCAGCTCTGATCTGCGGCCCCTGAAAATCTCCAACCTCTGCCTTGAACGCCCCTACAAAGCCACCTCCTCAAATTCTCCGCCGAGCTCCCTCTCAAACCAACAACACAGCGAATTCATCACAAACTGAAACCTCGAGAAAACCCGCAAATCCTCATTTTTCTGCGTCAAGAAAAGGCCGACGCCCGCCCAACAATTCAAATACTTCCAAAAAGCCGTCCCAATTTTTGCCGCACGTCAGCCTTAGGCCGTATCCGATCGACGACGACGACGACGAGGCACTCGCCGACCGATCGATCGATCGGCTTGAATGATCGAGTGAGTGAGTGACTGATCGAGCGCAGGGACGAGGGGACGGAGGGAGCGTCGCGCGTTCAAGACCTCTCCCGACGCAGGTCGGACAGAAACAACAACAAACGTCTCTCTCGGGCCCTGGCTCGGGCTCGATGCGCGGAAGATTCTTCGGCCCCGCTCCACGCTCCTGCTGCTGCTGCTGCTCCCCCTCTCTCAACCCCACCTCCGCTGCCAGGAACGAGTGCATACGTGGGCGCCCACGTGCCCGTCGCTCATTCGCCCGCTCCCCGCGGCTTGACTCCCTCGCAGGCTTTCCGTCCACGCCCGTCGACGAAGCCCGCCGAGCTGGACGGGCTCCCCGCCCCCACCCCACGTGGCGGCCGGGCATTCGAGCCGTTGCGCGACTGTGCAATGATCTGGAGACTCATGGGCTGCCTCCGTGTGCAACGGCTGCCGGTCCCCGTCGAATGCTTTTGGCCCTTGTGGCCCTTTTGTGCCGAGGAATTGGACATGTCCACTGCGGCCGATTCCCGTACGTGGAATCCGAGCCGAGCGTCCGATGCGCTGGTCGCAATTAATTTTCTTCGATGGTTTGGATCTTGCTCGACTCTCGAACCGTGTGGGTTTCAGCTGGGGCTGTAAAGTGTCGGTCGATTGCTTGGATTTTGGATTAGCGGTCGCGGAGAAGAGAGAGAAGATGTTGTGCAGTCTTTTTTTTCCTTCGAGTTATCCTTAAAATTTTATCCATCTCGTCTCTCGCTGCCTATCTCGGAGCACGGAATGCGTTTCGCAACTTTTCGCATCGTGGGCTAGAGGATAGGTCGAGAAGGACCGCCGTCTCGGAATAAAAAGATTAACGAGATAACGACGATGAAGTCGACGAAGAAGTCCACGGGCGGGGAGCCTGGGGAGAAATTTCTTGAAAGTCAACGAAGAGTCTCAACTCCATACGCAATCCGAGTCGTACAAACTTCGTCCATGCCGTTAGAATTCCAGCTAGACACCTCGAGATTCGGTAGGAAGCTGTGGCTTTAAGTTGGAACTTCCCTCGCCTTGCCTTTACTTCTACATCGATGCACTGGACGATCTTTTGTATACAAGTCGATGCATCTGGTCGTTTTCTTGAATTAGTTTCTTGCGTTCTTCGCTGTTTTCCAGTAATGGCAATACTAGACAAGTGACCGGCTCGAGCGAAAACTACGGGAAATATATCTCTGTTCGGTCTGTAGGAGAGTCCAGAAGCACGTGGGCGGGCCGAGATAACATGCAATTTGTTGATGCGGCCAATATCATCCCTCGTGCGTTCAGCGAACTTCATTGGAATTCAACTCTGTCAACAGTTTCATGGTCGAGGTTCACTCCGTATTGTGGTTCATAAGCACATTTGAGTAGGTTTCATTCGCTACGATGGAGTTGGAAATATGGTTTCATTCATGATTCCATTGAAGGATTTTAGGGTTTCAATGAAGGAGCTCGGTGATCACGATTGGCTTGTGCACTTGTGGAGGAAAGAGTAAAAATTAGCACTTCCAAAACGTACTTTTATTCAGCCATAGCCGGCGATGCATGTATGCACGTCCGGCATCGTGTCGAAGAGACCACAATCAACCAGAAAATCAAGTGTGAATGCTTGCACAAACCGAGTGGGCAAATAAAATGCAGAGAATTGAGAGATCAAGAAGACCGAAGCCGGGAGTTCAACCATTTATTCACAAATTGAGAAGCTGAGGGATTCAAAGCTTCTGGTGACAATCAACAACCTTCGATGCATATGCCCACCAGAGGTGCAAGCTCCGGGGAGAATATTTCGGCCCAGTTGGTTATCTAGCTAGACCGCGTGGAGAGTTTTCTGCTGAAGTCCGCATAAATAATTAATATGCCTGTCAAGACTTGCCGTACATTGAAAGAAAGAAAGCAGTCCTCTTGCCACTCTTTCGTCGACCTTCTCCTTTTGAGTGATCCCTCCGTTCCCGGACCTATCGGAGTCAACTTGCGGAAGATTGATGCAGGCAGGCAGGCACACTGTTCTAAGCCACAGGACCCCTGTTGTTTTATGAGTACAAATTTCCCTGCACACGTCTCGTGGTCTGTCTATGGGTGCAGAGAAGTGTCCAGTTGTGAATCGTCCAGACCTTCGTCTTGCTGGCTCCTCCCTCATACCTGTTTTCTCTCATGGTCTTTCTTTCCGGGCGTGGTGTCTATGGTCGCTAGGCTGTTGACTAGCCTCTCACAATCTATCGATTACAATAAACAAAGACTGTACTTACCCTTTCGCTTGCCAACTGAAGCCCTTGGACATAGGCGTTCGACTCCCTTGCAGATGGATCAGTGCCCAGGTGATGATGATGATGTCTCCGAGTAGAAGAAGCAGTTCAATGCAAGAATGCGCGCGAAAAACAAAAATCAGAGAAAACATGTGGTACCCAGGACTCCCAGAGGGGAGCTTCGATACAGACGAGAAAGGAGGTTGGTGAACAGCGCGGTGACAGATGGGTTTAAGTTAGTGAGACACACTGAGACAGCCTTGCAGCTCTCTCCTTCAGTTGGAAAAGGATTGTCAAGTCTCGATCCCACCTACACACTAATGTTCGGTCTTGACTTTCAAATCTCCATTGGACAATAATGCAGGGGTTTGTAGACTTTGCAAAGCTCTTCGATTTTCCTGCCAGAGAAGTGTGCAAGATTGATTAGTGACCTGAGCAAAACTCATGGAATTTTTCTCCCGCCGGAATTAAGCTTTGCTCGGAATCATGGACTAGTCGTCATGCGGTTGCGTTCATGCAACTTACATTGAGCTCGGCAAAACTCGAGCCATTGAGAAGGGTTTGGCCATGGCAAGTGATAGCTTACCGCAGCAGCCTGGGAACGTATCGCCCTGTAGGTCTCTGTTTCTTCAGGAAAGGTATCCTCCAATTCTTCCAAAATGTGCCTTCTCAAATTCTGTGTGACACAGATTTTAAGTCACTGGGAAGCTCTCAACCTTTTTGAAACTACCAAGGATTCCTCTGCGTTAAAATTAGGCCATAAACGTAGACCTTCAGCTCGACATGGACTGCTGGGTGGATATTCACAACGATGGTAAGAAGGTGGTGTAGGAAAAGCACCTTGAACGAGTCTACTTTTCCTTTCGTGTACTGGTTTCGCTGAATGCAGTTGTTTAAGAGATCCTTGGTAAACTCATCCGGATTCCGTCCCTCGTCGATAAACCTAGAGAAGAACAGACCATATTAAGGATGGTTCTGAAGTTCTCCCTTGTCACGAAACTAGAGTATCATGAAAGTCTGTAACGCGATGGAAAAATTATGACGATAAAAGTGCAACATGAACCTGAAATTTTGCAACGAGGTGAAAAGATTATAACAATGAAAGTGCAACATGCACGATGGCAAAGAGGCTTGTTTCAAATAGAAACAAACTCACCTCACGACTTCAAGTGGGATAGGTATACTGATGTTTTGTGCAGTCGATTGCAGGACCATAAGCTCTTTCAACACTCCATTTCTGTTCCATCCCACAATCCCACAAATTTTTAAGTTTCAGTTGCCGTTCTAAAAAGATGCATCTAAGTCTAATTCGGACTAATCTCTCTGTTATGACATTGCTACAAAATATATTTCGGTCACCAGGAACAAAAAAAGGCGAAAGATAAGAGAATCAAAGAGAAAGGTCTCGAAATAATAACGAGTCGTCTCATGATCTCACGTCAAGGCGTTTACAGCATGACGATAATCTGCACGGCTGCATACGACGTGTTTTCTACGGGCAAGAACGCTATGACATAATCTATCTCTGGCTACCCTCATCCACGCTGTCCTCAATTCAGACGGCCCCTGACAGTCTCCTCGATAGCTTGAGTTATAACTCAAGCAGGCAAGCTTAAGCCCTTGGACACATCGCTCACTACAGGCGTTCGGTGTCTGCAGTTGGGCCGACGCCGCCGCATACAGAACCATATCTTGCTTTAAAGTGACGCTAAGTTTGCTTCGACGTCACGACTCCTCTCTACTTTCTGTAGATTCTTCTATTCGAATCACCTACACTCGTTCGGTCCATCTCAATCTGGCCGTAATGTTTGAAGCATAGATGCACTAATGGTTTGTTTTGGGATGGCGGCCTTGAGTCGCATTTGGCTTCAAAATTGTATCCCTCTTCGTGTGCGTTTGATTGTGCTTGTTACATCAATCTAGCAAAAACACTTTCTCTGCATCTTCTTCTTCACCCTTTCCCCACTGCACCCTTCTCGACAGTGCTTCAGTTTTAGACAATCGCCCGCATGCGTGACATTTTGCAGGTTTGAGTATTTCCACCGAAGACCTGACTAGGCCCTTCGCACTCGGCTGACGGGGGATTAGGAGGAAGTGTCATTGGGCCTTCTGTGAGACATCTCTGGCCGGCAGTGCGATGTTATCTGCCATTGTCTGCAATTAATTTGACCTACATTCATGAGACAGAGGAAACAGGCGCGGTGGCAGAGGGCTGGAAAAGTGCAGATGCACAGCAGGGAGATGATCAGGGATGCAGGTGATAGACAATCTCACGAATCGACGACGCTGGATGCAAATTAGGGAGAAATTTCACATTTTCTCTTTCGATCACAAATCAAAAGGGGAAGTCAAAAGGCACAGCAGCAGCAGGAGGAGCAAGAGGAGGAGGAGGAGGCGTACAGGCGCTCGAGAAGCAGCAGCTGCGACGACAATGAGAAGCTGGAAACAGAGCAGTGAAGTTGATGCAACAAGGCCAAAGCACGCTGCACAGATGCTCCCACATCGTCCAAAGACTGCTGCATGGCGGCAGACCGCGTGTGCCCCGCTGCCTCCATGCTCTCCTCTGATCCCTCCCTCCCTGCCTCCCTCCCTCTCCCTGCCTCTGTGATTTCAGTCCGAGCTCACGCTCACAGTCTGATACCGACTGCTCGACGAAAAACCAGCCAATGCGTCGCCGATACACCAGGATTATGGCAACTGCTCACAAAGTCCGCGGATTACAACAGCCCGGGCAGCAGACGACGACGGAAGCAGGCGATGTGAGTTGAGGAGCATCATGGCAATGGAGAGAGAGAGAGGGGTCGGGAAAGTGCTCGCTCGCTTGTTAGTGACGAGGGGGGAGCGAGAACATGGTCCAACCGCAGCGAGAGTACTGACAGACAAAAGACCTTCTTTTTCTTTTCTCCGCCTCAATATAATAATGCCCTCGCCGATAAACGCTTCTCTAGCCTCTTAGTATAACGGGCGCTCCGATGACGTGGCGCCGGTCACCTCCTACGTGTCGTGTAATGCAACCGAAGCTCCGCCCATGACAAGCCGGTGCGCACGGTCGATTCCGTTCACATGTCGATGATCGTCGTCTTCTCGTTAGGAGTTTGTAAACCTGTTGAAGCTCGGATGGAGGGAGAGGGGTCAAACTTTACACGTGCATTCTCCATTTCAAATTATAATAAAATCTATAATATACATAAACTATTTTTTATTCCTTTTTTTAAATTTTTTTCCTCAGAAGATAATCCAAAAAATGGAAGCGGACACGCAGATATACAAACTGATCATAATCCCGTCTCAAAGGAAACATCAGCTACTTCGAGAATCTAGAGATGCGAGATGTGTGTCGATTTCTATCTAGAAACAAAGTTATATACCTAACTGATTTCTGCCTTGCCGTTTGAAGCGGTTTGGATATACAGAACCGAATTTTGCGGAGAAACGGACTCGAAGCAGTGACCTTGATTTGGATTTATACAAACCGAATTCTGTGGAGAAACGGACTTGAAGCATTGATCTTGATTAGGATTAGCGAGAACCGACTTCTGGGGAGAAACGGGATTGAAGAAGGGATCTTGATTAGGATTTACAAAAACCGAATTCTGTGGAGAAACAGACTTGAACCAGTGATCTTGATAAGGATTAGCAAAAACCGAATTCTGTGGAGAAACAGACTTGAAGCAGTGATCTTGATTAGGATTAACAAAAGCCGAATTCTGTGGAGAAACAGACTTGAAGCAGTGATCTTGATTAGGATTAGCAAAAACCGAATTCTGTGGAGAAACAGACTTGAAGCAGTGATCTTGATTAGGATTAGCAAAAACCGAATTCTGTGGAGAAACAGACTTGAAGCAGTGATCTTGATTAGGATTAGCAAAAACCGAATTCTGTGGAGAAACAGACTTGAAGCAGTGATCTTGATTAGGATTAGCAGTAAGAGAAAGAGGAAGGGTTGTTGAACCGAGGTTTGGAACGCGTGTATGTTCATTGTAAAACGCTGCAGCTTCAGAGGAATTGATTCAGTCCCACGTTGTGATGTGAAGCTCACAGCAGATTAACATAATCGGCAGGGGGCGGGAATTCAGATGTAAGTTCAAGCCCACTTTGCTGAGAGGAAAGTGCTGGAAAGCATACGTCTTGGCTCCTCTTGTGAGGCTCTCTTCTAAGACGAGATTTTCATAAAACGCAGACTTGGTCAAATCTGGTCAAAGTATAGAACCTTGGCTCCTCTTGTGAGGCTCTCTTCTAAGACGAGATTTTCATAAAACGCAGACTTGGTCAAATCTGGTCAAAATATAAAACCCTCGCTCACTGTGTGTCGGTAAAGTTCTCCGGATGGACTGTGATCTGAACGATCCATAAGAAAGTTCGAATAAAAGAAGAATTACCTTCAGATATCTGTACCTACAACGGTCGGCTATTTAAGAGCAGTGATGCTTACTATTCCCACTTTCGTGAAGTCAATTCTATTTTCATGACACTTGGAGATTGGAGGATGTCTGAAATCTAATGAAAGTTGAGATTGTTACGAAAGTCTAATGGGTGTGACAAGATATCTTGGTCCTGGTTCGGAGACAAAAAGACATTCATAACTAATCGTTGCTCTGGTACTGAACATGCGTAAGACCACATGAATTTTCTCGCAATTGTTAAACATAGTCAAAGGATCAGAGGTTATTAGATACATTAAAAGGTTTTACGAAGACCGTTTCTGGAGAAATCATCTGACATGATCAACTTATATATTAACAAAATAAAAATAAAAATTTGCATCATATTGATGGTAAGTGTGCACATTATTTGCTTCAGACATGAAACTGAAGATATCAGTGTCCAGCCGTTTTAAGCACGACGGCTTATCCCTACAAACTTTTTGTAGTCAAAACAATGAAGATTTTTTGAGAGATTAGGAGTACACATTTTGGAATAATTTGTGCAGGAAATTTGAGCAAAAGTCTACACATGTAACTACTGCAGAGACTATATACTCGTCATGCCGAGGTACGAGAATCTTCAACCGATTCAAAGGCAGCACATGCATGTATAAACATGGCCATGAGTCGTGGAATGAAGCAAAGGTAAGCGATATGGAAGACAATTCTTCATCGACCAAGGAAATTCTTCTCTCCAGAACTTATCGAGCTTAGAATTGTTGATTTGAAAGTAAGTATCAAATGTGTACAGTTGAAGTTTGATCTATCGTGTGATTGGGAGATAAAATACAATAAGAGTACAAATTTCAATATAAAAAATGCAGCATAATACAAAATGATGGGCCGGATGTAATGGCGTGCATCTTTTTCCAAGGGTCAAAGGTATGTGCAAACCACTGCTCTATCTCGTGCACTAAGATTTGTGAAGTCTTATCGACTTCGACACCAGTTGGGTATCGCTACTTCCTTCTCCTCGTCGACGATTTGAGCCGCTTTATATAGCTTACACTGCTCATCATGAAATACGAGACGAAAACGGCGATAAAATTATCCACAGCCAGGATCAAGATGAAGAAAGGCGCAAGCTGTGGTTTCTCCTCATGGACTGCAATGGAGAGTTCACCACGGTGACATTGGCAGCATATTGTGTCGACAAGAACTTTGAGTGGCAGTTTTTGACGTCATGCTCACGGCAACATAACAGAGTAGTGAAACGTCGCAATCAAACTATCGTCATGACAGCAAGGAGCTTGATGAAGTCAAAGGGTGTGCCACCAAGCAAGATGAGCATCGTGTCCACGACAGACTCAATGCCATATCAGAGCATCGTGGGCAACCTTCAATATCTTGCATATCGTCTTACATCGCGTATTCGGTGAGATACATGAGCAATTTCATCAAATCTTCCAGCACTAAGCAACTAGCCGTTGTGAATCACATTCTCCAATATACTGTTGTAAAGCGCAACACTATGAGTGCAGTATGAGAGAAAGAATGTCGGCGCTACGCTAGTTGGGTATAGTGATATCGACATGGCAGGAGACATCGACATCCGCAAGAACAATATCAATGTGCTCTTCTTCCTCGGCAACAGCATTATCAACAAGCAGATGTCATCTCGCTTTTTGCATACGAGTTGAAGTTGTAATAGATGGATTATCAAAATGGAGCATAATGGTAAAGATCCAATCTCACGAGGACAGAAACAACACTAGAAAACCAAGTAGTGTCATGAATTGATATTCTATTGAAGAGTTTTACTTCTCATGCACGTGTCACTACCAGAAGACGTTGTTGGATTACAGCCAAAGTTCCGAAGAGCAGAGTATAATCACACACACAACCTGAAAATTGTTCAAGCGAAGCCTGCAGGAATCGCACCCAACCCTGCACTTTGTGTTCAGGGGGGAAATTTCCCAAGATTACTCACTAAGCCAGCTGCATTGAGCTTTCAATTTACAAATTTGCTTAAATCCTGAACTAACCATAGGCTACTCAGAACATCTGAATTGGACTCTTTACTTCAGATGCGGTATTTTTGAAAAACTGAAGCAACTCGCACACGATGATAAAACATTCAATTTCACAAACGTGCAGAGGAATGTTGACTAAAAGCTGAGAAACTAACTAATGAAAAAGCTACTTCAAAAGCAAAGTCTTGGGCCTCTTTATTCCAGACTAACACTCCGAGATGTCACTCGCTGTGATGCGAGCTCTCAACGGGCGCGACGCCATCTGACCTGACTGTTACCACGCCTGTTGAGCTCCTATTTACTTCTATCCCACTCAAAACGGCTGACAGTTCCAATTCCAAGTCTCCTTCATCTTCTCCAAACCGAAGATGAACAAATTGAGCTTCATATCTAACTGCAAATGCTCTCCTACTCCGCTGGCTGTCAATACCTTCACTCAACGCTCCGGCTCCACCACGCGCTTGAATTCTCTCTCAAATCCTTTTAAGTCTGAAGCTTCACAAAACTCAAAGTCAAAGCTTCAAATTAATTACTTCTTCAAACGGATTCCATTGAGGCTAAAATTTTGCTTGCATGTGCGTCCAGCTCAAAGCAACAACCCTATCAAATTTCAGCTCCAGTTAACACTTCAACGCAAAGATATGGTTTTTGCGAGATCCATGCTCCAAGACCGAAGGGGTTAAGGCCGAAGTCCGAAGACCCTTAACCCGAAGACCCTTTGACGTCTTCGCCGACCCATACCAACTACTTCCGACACTCATAACTTAATGATCCTTTATCCAATTCAGGAGTTCTTGGGCTCGTTAGAACCAGAGTGTCGGTTTCATCTATCGAGACCTTAACTAAGTCAAGTAGTTACTAATTGAAAAAGGTATGAGGTATTTACTCTATCAGATCATAACTCATCTAATTCAACTTTATTGCCTACAAGTAAAAGCACTAATTTGGAAGAGAGTAAGCTTAATGAATTCCACTAGTACTGGAAATCTACCATAGAATCCACTATTAACTCTACTTCGTAGCATTCTTCTTCTAAAAGTTTGAAATTAGTAGTCTTCTAACTCTCAAACTTCTCGTTTTGAAAAAAAAAAAAAAACCTATGTTACCACAGGAGTACATCACTTCGAAAATGGTGTGTTAGGGCGTTTGATTAGCTCAGCTTCTTGGTGAATTGAAAAAAAGGAGGCCAAGCATATCGTATTCAAAGTGTACAACATATTTGCAATCTCTTTCAACAAAAATCATCTTTCATCTTTTACAATTGCAATAAGCATATTGATACAAGATATCATTTCATTTGGAAATTGGTTGAAAAAGGGTAGATTGAGATTGATTTCTTCGACACTGATGTACAGCTTGCGCACATTCTAACAAAGCCGCTTGGTTGTGTCAAGATTTTGGAGCTTTGATTCAAGATCGGCATTGTAGAGTTTTAATAAATGCTCAAGGTATTGGGATTGAAGTCATATAAATCTTGAGCTTTTGATCATTTGGA